TTGTTTATTAATGCCAAAACTTGACTTGGCGTGTGGCATTTTGTCATGTTTTCAGACTCTTAAGAAACCCTGCTGTGTCTCCTGACCACGTTTATTATAAAGTTTGAAGTTCAGGTGAGATCAGAACATTAATAGGATTTGTTGAATGCTTTCACTGACATTATGATGTAATCAGGTGGCAAAATAAAGCAGCAAAGAATTCAGTGTCGCATAACGTGTCTGATTGTTGTCTCATTTTGGTCATTAAAGTGTACACCAGTAATATTTTTTCAAGATTTTTTCCATTTTTTCCCAAACTCTTCACATTAAAACTAAAAAAAGTGTATTTTTTCTCTTTAGAGCAACACTTGGATGCAGTTGTGGTCATTTGTCTGTTGGTGTTTCTTGTTATAGCTGTCTCTCAAACGCTCTGTCAGTTTCAAAATATCCCTCATCTAATTATCTGCTCTCGCTTTCCGCCATGGATAGCTGTGTCTTCAAATGTGGCGTCATTTAAACTTGCAAGAGCAGTGCCACGAACTTACAACCTTTCAGGAAATCTCTGTCTTGCCATTAAAAGTATGAACTTTGATCCGCGATCAAGCCCAAGGGTCGCAAGGAAAAAACTAAATGACTTTTGCAGACCGGGGCGAAGGGGTTCGCCTTAACAAGACGGATCTGTTCCATTTATTGCACTCTCTTAAGCCTCTTGCGAAATCCGCTCGCCTTCATTAGCTGTTCCTGACTCCTGCTCCGAAAGTAATGGCATACAGGAGGAACCCTGACACACTTAAGGTGAAGATTTACAGCGACTGTGGCTTACGTTGTCTCGGTGTCAGAATCACCGAGTAAGCTGTTTGTTTGAGTCAGCTTACTTCAGCATCAAAGGATGACAGTACGTCTGCCGCACACTGTAATTGCGACCAACTGCTTTTCTGTTGCTTTCTTGTTTGCACGAACCACAAAGAGACAATTATGCACATTCCTTTGGAAATTGCCCCCTCGAGATTTTTGACCTTGGGCATGAAACTGAGTTGGGAAACCGAAACCCGAGTTTCCAACTGATGGGTTGAAACCGTGTGCCTCTGTTCCTGTCACAAAGCAAGCTAATTTGGTCGTGATATTTGATATTTTCACAGAACGAAGACCTTGGTTCGAATCCAAACAGCTATAGTGGCCTCATGTCATACACTGTTTTCTAGATAATGTTGTACTGTAGATGACACTCGGGTGGGCAGATAGAAGACCACCAACATTGAGGTATATAACGTTTACATTGTGCTTCTACAATTTCTGGGGTCAGCTTATTTTAAAGCACCCTCCTTCCTCCTTTATTATTCCTCTTTCCCCACTGTCTATCTTCCTACTGTTAAATAGGCATTGCATTCTTTTTTCAACTTTTTTTTTTAGAAACGGTAGAATGATTTTCTGTAATGTTGCAGTGGATTAACATCAACATCTCATATACTATATAATTTGTAAGGTAGTAAATTTGTCAAATTTGGAGTCATCTACTAATAACAGCTAATAAGAATAGGTGCCTATAACTCATTATTGTAATGTTGTATTTTCTAAATGCATAAAGGCGTTTTTATTGGTGTTCAGTTTTTAAAGAAGTTGGGATGAAACATGATTCTTGGATAATTTATTTGTCACCTCACTGGCTTCGAGATAAAGAAATAATGTTAGTGCATAAAGTTCAGTGAAAGTACCTGTCTGATAAATTGGAAAGAAAACTTGCTGCATAACTCAACTAGTACAAAATGGCATTGTCACGGTAACTTGTTAAAAAGGCCGCCTTTATGTCTTTTCGAGAATAAACGGTAATTTTGGTAAAAACTGTGAAATACAGACATGAAACCTGCTACGTTATGGTATGCAATTCTTCTAAAAGGTATTCTGTGCAGTGAACATTGTTATTCGAATATCAGGTTTTGTCAGAATGCATTTCTGAAGATTCTGATTGATTCTGAAAGACATTAATGATTATACAAAATCCTCACAAAATAGACTCATTTTCCAGTGTCTGAAACATAACTACACATAGGTCTTCAAAAGACAACCGAACTGCCACAGGAATGACTGAAAGGGAAAAAAAATGAAAATGTGCAGGTGTTAGGAGCAACCTTTGTTGTGTATGGATGTACTCCATTGTGCACCTGTGTACATGTTTCTGCATACTGATTTTTATGCTGGCTGCTGGCCCTTTGCAGATAAAGCTCAGTCTTTTGGGGACCACTTGTGGCGGGCTGATATTGCCTCGCAGTAATGCCAGGGAGCTTAGGGACTTGCACGGACCCCCGGGCATCGGCCCAACACAATTAAGAACAAGGAAAGCAGCATGTGTGCTGTAAACAAGGACTAAAGGCCACAGTGCCTGTCTTGTTTGTATTGTTTTCGTACCAGTTTAGACGTCTAGGCAGTGTGTACAATTGCAGTTCTATTTAATATTTAAAATGTTTTCCCCCACACCTGTGTGATTTGTATTGTCTTTCTTTTGTTTGGTTTGATCTGGAACTATGTTCTGTGATTTTCCATATGTAGTTCAGAGTTAATTTATGTCTCTTTAAATGATTCCACACCACTATTGTCTTCTTGATTCCGTTCATAATAGGAGTAGGTGTTTCTAAAATTGACATCCAGTCTTATTTCTGTTCTGCAGAAGATTTTTTTTCCAAAAATGTCACTTAATTGGCTAAGCATATCAATTAAATTGTGATATAAACAGAGTAATGGCTTAATGTATTTGCAAATATGTGTACTGTATACGGTATCTCTTTAACAGCATAAAATTCCAAATTTGGGGGCTAACGGCAAAGAGTGATGGTGGAATAGGTTATTGGACGTTACAACTACAGCCTTTATTTGATATTTTTTTACTTTCTCCTCCCACTTGTATTTTATTTCCTGTTCAGTTTTGCCTCCTGTCTTTGCTTCCCACCTCCATTCAGCTGCCGACCGCCTTATCTCCGTCATGTTAGTCATTCCTCTCTACAGAGCATATTTGTCTTTGGTTCCCACTGGATCAATGGAACACATATTCCCCTTTTTTTCATGCATTGTTCCATACTGTGTTCATGCTTGCTGTTGCCTTCCGTGCCTTTGAGACTGAGATACAAGCTCTTTTGCGGTGACATCATGTTAGATAACCAGGGCAACACAATTTGGCATTCAACATCATCTACAGTGTCCTGTGGCTGATGAGAACATTATAGAATTTCTTCAAAGGATATTATGATGAATACATTTTTCTTTCAGAGGGTTTCAAATGTGCTTTTTTATTTACTGTGCCTTAGTCGGTTACAGCTGCTCAAACAAAAGACAGTTTATGGGAGCACATGTTTGTGTGGTAATTATATCAACAAAATGGATTAACTGCAATTCAGGGTAATTGCATGGCAATAATAATGCACCACACCTAATTTCTCTTTTAATATAATATTCAATTCCATGGAGGGATTATCTGATAGAATTTATTGGGCTTCTTTTCTATTATGTGTTTTGTGTTATTGTGATATATGTAGTTGGCTTACAGCTGAGTAGGCAAAAAGGAGGTTCGGCACCTTTTTAGCTATTTTTTTCCTCTTTGAGGGTCTAATCTTCTCTCAGAAATTTGTGCTGTCTTGAAAAATGGATGGCGGTTTTTATTCTCGCAACTATATTTGACAAAAAATGTCTTAGAGGGATTTAAATACAATGGGGAAAGTCAGTGTGTTGTTTATAATAACCAATCTCGCTTAATTCTCTACATTCAGGGTTATTATAATGTTCATTGCTCCTATGAACCTGCCTTAGCCATCCTGCACTAAGATCAAGTCATGGCAAAAGTTATCCTTGTTAAGTATTGTTATGGTGAAAAACACTAAAGAAAAACCTGTCCAAATAAATTCAAACTATCAGCTTAGTCAGAAAAAAGGGTTACTGTAGTTTAACTACTAAGGAACCTTCTTTCTAAATGTCTGTCATTGTCATAGACCTCATGTGAGGCTTTACTTTAGTGGGTAAACACTTAGTCTGGGATTTATTTGTTATAGTGGATACGCACTGTATAAACATGTAATTTGCCAGAATTGTGGTGAGTCCTCTTTTTGCAAGGCCTCTAGTCTTTTACAGAGAGACCTGCTGAAAACTCTGGAAGCTACTATCAAAAGCAAAGTCTTGAGACAGCATTTTAATCCTTACTTTCCTCATCAGCTGCTTTTTTTTTTTGCAGTTTCTGGCTAACTTAGCTCCGACAGGCATGAAAGGAGTCTTACTTAGATTCTCTAAAAAATGCACTGTTTGGCTCCCCACATGAAAACACAATTAAATGAATAAAATAAGATGAAAATCATTGATGGAAAGAAAAGGAGAGAGAGAAAGTGATGGTTGTTGTGTGTGATGGGAAAGGGGGGGTTGGAAAAGGATGAATGGAATGTCAGATGCACAGATGCACTGGACTTCTGTACCTGGAACTCATTAGGGAGGCTTTTCTTTGTCCTCGGCTTCGCCGGGATCCGCTCCTCCGCTGTTTTGTTTCGGAGGAGCAGCTTGATTGACGTCTCAGTGGCGCGTCGTGGATTAGAGGTGATTTTGCGGTTGTTTGTGTCGGTGTGGTGAGAGCTATCGATTTCCATTCCGCAGCTTATTAAAGGTTGTGGTGAAAATGGCTTCAAATGGTGAAGATGTGTCCAGTTATATAGATATTTGGAGGAGAGTTATTCTCTTTTCAAAATGAGCATGGGCATTCAGACATACAAGGCCAATGTGGAAATGGCCACATCACAACATGTAGTTGTAATGAGTTAATTTGATATTTGCTATTCTCTGTGGTCCATCATATCGTTTTAGTATAAAGCATTTAAGACTTTGAACGACATAACTTTGTATGGCCATAGATCATAATATATTCTCACTCTTTTTGAAACTGCACGAAAAGCTGCAAATGTTTGTCGTAAACCCTTTTTTTATGGCAAGAAATGCTTTTTAGGACAGTAAGTTTGGCAATAATGAAAGTGCATGTCCTTTTTTTCCCCTTCCAGGGTCTCGTCTTCGTCAGGAAGACTTCCCCCCCCCGCATCGTGGAGCATCCCTCTGACCTGATCGTGTCCAAAGGGGAGCCGGCCACGCTCAACTGTAAGGCGGAAGGCCGCCCGGCCCCCACGGTGGAATGGTACAAAGACGGCGAGCGCGTCGAGACGGACCGCGACAACCCCCGCTCCCACCGCATGCTCCTCCCCAGTGGGTCGCTCTTCTTCTTACGCATCATCCACGGGCGGCGGAGCAAGCCGGACGACGGCAGCTACGTGTGCGTGGCGCGCAACTATCTGGGCCAGGCGATCAGTCACAACGCATCCCTGGAAGTAGCCAGTAAGTTCTGCTATCCATCTTTTTTTTTATGTTTGTTGATTAACAACTAATGCAATCGCACGGGCTTCAGAAAGAAAAAGAAAGCGAACACATAAAGCGTAACGGGTAAATCTTAAATCCAGCTTTTCGGGCCTTTTGTTCCAAAGACAGGTCTAGAGACAGGTGGAGATTTACTGTCAGACATGCAACAGCTGTGTCTGTTTCAGTCCCCCGGTTTTAACAATGGGTGAGTGTGCTGTAACAGGTGACAGTTTTGCTGAGTCGCAGCCTCGCAGGTGTCAAGTCCGGGGTGCTGCTAGTTAAACAAACCTTCCGTAGCGGAATCCGTCTCGCGGAAATTCATCAACAAAGCATATATCTGCGTGTCTGCGTCGATGCCCGCCGGAGTAATGGAATGAAGCCTGTGCCGAGAGCAAAAGGGCAAAGGTCAGGGCTTACAACCATCAAAATAAGGTAAGTGCAGATGGTGGGAGAATCCCCAGGGAGCGCAGGTTGCAAATCCCAAAAACACAGGGATTAGTCTGGATAATAACACGCGTAAAAACGACACTGATTGAAGGAGGTGTCGGTGACAAAGGTTAACAACCGCAGTCATGCTCTCCATCCTTTCTAACGCAAAGCTCTGGCTCTGTTCAGTTAGCCTGCAGTGCTCTGCCCAGTCTGAATCTCAGGGGCTCGGATCAAGGTTTTTTTTGGAATTCTAATTCCCCTCCAGTATCAGTTTTTTACATTTTGAATCATAATGAAGGAGATGGTCAGATGGTATCATGGTAATGCCAGATCAGCACTTCTAGCAGAAGAAGCTAAGCCCTCCAGGGGAAGAGTTTATTACTTGTAGTTCACTAAATTTACTGCCAGGTTTTAAGGTCGAGGGTGGGGGGGGGGCACAGAGAGGACTTGTTGAAGCTGCCTGGATGAATTATGCTTCCTTACTTCATCCTTCAGAGGTCACGCAGATTCATGGGTGACCCCGGGGCTAGATGGTAAAACAAAACAGCCTTTGGCAAAGGCTGCTGAGCTGAAGAGAACAGAGGAGCTGGGGAATAGTTAAAGGAGGACTTACCTTACTTTAGGGTAGGTGTATGCATTCCTTATTTCTTTTTTCTGTTTGTGTGTTGCTTTTTTTCTGCTGTGCTGCAGTTGCTTACCTGTTTTGGTTACCAACAGTAACCAGCAAAAAGTCACCATCAGATTTTATTTATATCATTCAATACTCAAATATTTGGTCTGCAGAACAGGACTTTTACGATTCCGGGTTTCTTTTTTCTAAGGTTGAACAGTCGTATGGTTTTAACAATCCCTTTCACATTGTATGCCCTAGCATTTTCCATCCAAGAGGTTAGTTTTAAGTTAGTTATTCTCAGTTCGTCATTCACCTAATCTATGAAGGTGATGGAGAGGTCTATAGTACATGCGTGGTAGTTGTGTGTTTATGTTGGACAAAAAGCATAATGTGTGGATAGCTATAATCCCTACGTGATTAGTACATTATTAGTATTAGTACTGAATGTATAGCAGGAGTAATTTGGGTTTGATTTGAACTTAAGAACTGTGACCATTTGAAATAAAATACCAATTTATTTTAATTGTAAGAATAGAATATGTCAAATTCTATGTCCTAAAATGGATAAGAAACATGATTGATTAACAAATGTTTCCAGGATATAAATATATAATCAATTATGATCCAAAGTATGATTTAATGGCAATTCATGTGTCATGTATAATCTCTGGAGATGAGTAATTACACACTTGTATAATTGGATATAATAGATATAAACTGTTTAAAAGAATTTCAATTGAATATTTAACAGAAAACATATACCTGAATAAAATAGTCCCTGCTGTGCACCTGTTCCTAAACATAGACACTGGCAGGTCAGAATGAATTTACAGGAGTGGCAGTCATGAATGACTTGTCACTTTAAATAAAAGTGTGGGTTCATTAAATCAACCACCCAAAAAGGTCTAACGCAGGAGCAAACTGACAAGAATCCCACAGAGGATTAGCCACATATGTCTTGCTATGGACAAGATATATGTGAAATCTGCTGTGGAAAATTAAGAATATTAAACGCCTCGCCTTGATTTGCATGAATTCACTGAATCGTGGCGTTTTCCCGCTGCTGCCGATTGAACTGAAACAACAAGGATGATAAGAAGTGAAAAGATGGCTGACAAAAGACGGAGTTGAAGGCTGACAGATGTAAAGTGATGTGATTGGGAGAGGAGCGACAGAGACAGACGGGGACATAAGACACGAAACAGGAAGTATCTGTCCTTCTAGGCACGGCGGGCAAACTCGTTGGCAGAAAATTGAGGTGACGTCGTCGAGGCGGTGACAGATGTAGAATGTGCCGGTGCCTGAAGCGTGACCACAGGGTTGAAATACTGTGTAAGCACACACAACGTAGACACGCACACACACACACAAAGTGGAGTCCTCTCTGGAAGCAAAAGAGGGAAAATGATAAAAAAAAAGCGGGGAAAAAAAAACGACAGAATTTAGCTCCTATCCAATAAATGTCACTGAAGACACTCAGCATATTTTTCTGCCCGCAGGGACCCCTGGAGGACCCTGGGAAATGAACATATGTCCTGTTGACCTCAGCCACTTGATTCAATCATGGAACACTTTATTGAGGTGAAGGCAAAGTCACAGCCTGTGTACTCCAAAGGTTATCGGATCCTAGAACACTTTTAGGCTCACTAGGAGGATTGGAATAGATGTTATGCTTTAACTAATTGGACATTGCCATTTGCTAGGGGAAAGTCGGGCTCATGGCGGGGGCAGCCACAATACAGCGGTGATGAAGTAATGAGCCACAGGGTAAAAAAAACATATGGCTACACTATGAGTCACGCCATTCCGTGCAAAGAGAAAAGTAAATAAATAAAGAGAATACTCTCTCTGATGTATATTCAGGTAGTGTATAGAGCTGTACTTTATCACATAGGTCAATTTCAGGCTTGTTAACTTCAATATTCATAAACAGATGTTGTATTAATTCCCATTTTTGTGCAATTGCTTGTGTCAACTCTCCTGAACAGATGTTGTTAACCACTTCACTTCATGATTCGAGACTGAAACTGGTCAGTTAAGCATTTTTCACACATGAACACCAGAGACGTTCAGGGACACTGCGCAGACAATTGATCCGGTCTTTTGCAGCCACGAGAACACATTATAGTAAGAAACGCTCTGCTTCAGATGAGCTCTCCCAGCTGGAAATGGGAGGAAGAAGATGTTTTGTGCACACAGGACTGGTACATTCAATTCAAAGCTAGTCTGAAAACCAATGAGGGAGTTTTAGAGATCATGCTATAGAATTTAGTTTTCTTATATCATAGAAGTTGTAATTGGATATCTTTTTGCAAGTCATCATCATCATCATCAGCATATTATTTTTAGCACTAACTTTAAACACCACCAGCTGTGCTTTCCAAAGGAGGGATAGTGTTAGTGAGCAGGTTTGTTGATACAGTTACATACATAATAGCTACTATGGTTCCTCTATGTCTCACAAAGTATTTCTTTAGTGATGACAAACTGCAGTTTTCATTCCTTTTCTTCAATAAACACAGACAGGATTAGGGATTCAGATTGATTCTTTCATGGCAAAGGAAATATTTGACCCATTCACTCAAGCCACTGTATATTCACGAAAAAAAAGGGGGTGAGGGATTAACAATTTTTTTTCTAATCAGGGCAATATTAACTTGCTTTAGGACTTTGTATGAGGACAATACAAAATGTTTTCTCAATTTAGCTCAAACTTTTTGATTTGAACTATTTTACATAGGCCAATTTACTCAAGAAAATTCCTCAACACACATTTAACTGTACTAACTTTATAACTAAAACATTTTGGCCACTTGTTGGTCCTTTTGCAGAATATAGCAGGATTTTATTTAGAAGAAAACAGCAAAATACATGTTTATCTTTCACATTTGGTATTTTTGATATGGACTTAATTTGATTCAGGACAGCGTTGTGTTTTTTTCATTCTGTTAAAATGTACAGTTGTAAATAAATCTGATTACATTTGCTCTCACTTTTTCTTTTCACTGAAAGTGGAAGCCTGTGAAAACATTTTGATGGCTTATGGTAATCACCTGGATGCATTTACATGATGGACATGTCCTTTGCAGCATCATGCTCTCTGAAGTAGATCCTGTGCTTTCCGTGGCAAAATCACCCTGAGCGATTGACAGCTTGAGCCGAGACCCCTGGTCAGTCCCTCTGTCCGACTGCCTTTGATTATAATCCTATGTTCCGAGGCGGGTCCGGAAGATATGCACCACAACACTGATAGATGTGGATTGTCAGAGGTCAGGTTTCTTCTCTGTGTGCCTCTAACTAATGTGGCCTCACTTGAAATGGCTGTCATTGCTGCCAACAGCATCCTATACTTGGATAAACACACAAAAGGCTTTTAAGTGCCAGTGGAGTTGTATATTCTCAGAAAACAATTGCCATTTTCTCTCCATATGGACAAAGATTTATGGGCAAGTTGTGACATGTTGGAACTCCTCCTGTTTCACAGCCACAGATAACAGCATTTATTTTTATTTGCCTGTGACATCATATAAAGCTGTTTGAGCATCGTGTTCCTGGTCCTGCTTTCCGCTCTTGTCCCCCCCCCCCCCCCCCCCCAGTTGGCCCGTGGCTAGATCAGCCAGCGTATAAGTATCAGACTCCGGGGACAGCTGGTTTGTGTTTACGGTCTGCAGACTGCAGCGAGTGCACTGCGAGGATTGTCTAAACAATTTCAGTCACTACATTCCCCTCAGCTGAGAATTTCCCAGTCAGATTTGTGGCGGAGTGTCAGGACAAAGGGAGAGAGTTGGCCTCTATTTCTGCAACCCAGTGAAGGGGTAGAAAAGATAAAAAGTACCGTACTCAAGTACTCTGACAAACCCTGGCTGTATAGCAATACGATCAGGTTTCAAAATACTATACTTTTTGTGTGTGTCTGTGTCTGTATTTGAGTTATATC